TCTGATTTCCAACTGCTCAGCGCTCCCACAGGTCTACGTTGCACTCTTTTAGCGATCGGGCTATTGTTAGTGTGGCACCCAAGCTATGGAACGCCTTGCCACTTGAAATCGGGCAATATATTTAAGTCTGCTTTGAAAACCCATCTCTTTAAAGGGGACCTTCCCTTATTAGTTTGGTCGGTTGCCCTGCTACTGTTTTTGTTTCCTGCTGTTCATGGATTGCGCATTATTTGAATTATTATTTCAAATGTGTGGTGGTCCTCACATTGATGATGTTTTATCAACGAAAGTGCCTCCCCCCTCCACCCCCCTTGAATATATATTTAATAGCACTTCTAGTCTAACTGATATCGGGCCTAGGGTGGCCTCGTGGTTGCCAACTGGGCGATTTTGTCTCCAGCTCTCGCGGGCTCTTCTTCGTCCGACGGGATTCCGTAGCGACAACGTTTTTGCCAAAGCGACTAAGAGACAACTCTGGCTAAGTTGTTGTGTTTTTTAATACCACGAAGACGTGATGCGAATTTATGTTCGATTCCAGGTCTGCGTTAATAAGGATCGCGTGTATCAGTTTACTTGCTCACGTCTGGCACCTCGGGGTCTTCCGTTCGGTGGAAGTTGTGATTTTGCGGAAGGTTTCATCCGTTCGCGACATCTAGACAAGGTTAGTTTGGCCATTTCTCCCTTTAATAATAATAATGATGGATAATACGAATTATTTATAGAGCCTTTAAAAGATCACAAGCGCCGTACATACGAAAACGTTAACACTCCATCGAATAGGAAATAAAGAGTGCTAGACAAGACAAATAAGAATCCGGATTTTTGCAACACTGCCAGGCGTAGTAGCTCCACCGCAGTTGTATGCAATATCAACTGAAGATGTGTTTATTTATTTTATAAGCGGTGTAGCTGTTCCTATAACAGTGTTTAGGGATCAAGTCTAATAATCGTGGCCCAAACACAGGCGCTCCCCTGTTGCTGCGTTGAGCCACAGCTGAGACAGTGTCGGACAGAGCCCCTCAACGGATTTTGGAAGCCCGGGGCAAAAACAGCCATAGCCACATGAGCCACCCTCTGAGCCCCCCACCGCTCCCCTCTTTTTCTGCCCCCCCCCCTGATCTGAAGCCCGGGGAAAATTACTCCACCTGCGTCCCCTTCCTTCCGCCCCCTCCCCACATGATGTCGGTGCTGAGATAACCGAAGGGTGGTGCTTGGAATGTTCCATTTTTGCCTTCCGTTGCTTCTTGTCGAACACACCGCAATGCACGTATGCATTGTACGTACGGTCGCGTCTATGTAGTGTGAACGCTTTTGATTTGGCACACGTGTTTTTACATCGTTGTGCCGCGTGGATGCCATTATTATACATGCTGTGCGTAAAACTCAAGGATTTAATGGTGATGACGATGGTGGAGATCAAGAATGCTATGCGTAGGAAACCATCAACATATCACAAGAATACACATCACAGCAGTACACACACCCAGTAGAGAGACAAAGATCCTGTTGGGACAAGTGCTGTTAGCGAGCACATATGAAGGTTGGCACGGCACATCAATAGGTGGGTTGTGTGGCAAACAACACGCCCGGCCACCTTTGTCTCACCAATGCTGATGTTTTAACACCGCACAGTTACTCATTTGAGGCTGAGTTGACCTAGGGGAATCCCGGGACCGGTTCTGATATTCGTCACTGATGTTGGCCGTGAGCGGGAATCGAACTCGTGTCGCCGGGTTCGTAGCCCGTTGCACTTGCTACTGTGCCGCCATCCCCACAGACATCACACGTATCCCATCACGTACACACATACACATCATGTACGTAACCGCATGTTCACACACATACAATATATGCCTACGTGCACATGATACATACACACAAACGGCATGTACGTTTCGACAAAGATCCAACAAAATAGCCTTAACAGACTGTTGGCGCAAGTGCTGTTAGCGAGCGCCTACGGAAGGTCGGCGCGGCACACGAAGGGGTGGGTGGCCAGGAACACGCCCGGCCGCCTTTGTCTCCCGAGTGGTGGTGTTTACACACCGCACCAGGAACTCGTTTGTGTGTGTGTGTATATATGTGTAAAGACTGTCAGCAAGTCTCGATGTGAGGACAGGGTGTCAGCGAGGCTGGATGCAAAGACAAGGCGCCAGCAAATCTGGGAGAATCTTGGTTGGGAAATTCCCCAATGTCCAAAATAGACGGCTGGGGAAATTTCCTCCAGAGAATCCACGAGGATAAAAGCAGGGCAAGAAGGGAAGTTCGGGGCTGTCGAGAGGGACTCGGGACGTTGCCGCTGTCTTCACGTCGTCACTGTCTGCTCGGTCAGACGACCTCCACGCCGGCATTACCTCATGACGACGTGGTCCTAAGCTACGTTACGTGCAATAAAGGAAACCTCTACAGCTCGAGTCCGGAGTCGTTACACATGCATACAGAGTGCTGTTGGCAAGCCACGTGCCGAGGTCAAAGCGATGCACGTGGCGGTGGTGTGGTCAGTACCACGCCCGGCTGCCTTTGTCTCCCCCAGTGCTGGCGTGTTTACATCGCAACAGGTACTCATTTAATGCTGAGTTGATTCAGGGGAGGCGCACATATAAATCCCTCGCAAACTGAGGTTAGCCGTGGTCGAGAATCTAACTCATGTCTTGGGGTTCAATAGGTCAAGCAGTGCGCTAACCACTGCGCCACCGCTCCACACGTTGCTATATTCCATAGACAAGTTACACGTTCATAAGCACGTTGGCACACACTCGTACACACATGATGTCAAGTACACGCACACACAGTTTACATGACAACACAAATCACAAAATGACACACAAACATATATACACCCAAACAAATGGCTAAAATCCACATGCACACACAAAAATACATATACACATACATGACGAAAGTCGGCACACACATTACAAAAATCCACACGCACAAAGACAAGATTCCTCCTTGTCTTTAACAGGCCATTGGGACAGGTGCTGTTAGCGAGCACTGCTTAAGGCCGGAACGGCACACGAGGGGATGGGGGTGTCCAGCACCACGCTCCGCCACCTTTGTCTCCCCAGTACTAATTTAAGGCTGAGTCGATCTAGGCAGGGGAGAGGAGAAACCCAGGCCCGGTTCAGATAATCATCACTTCATGTTGGCCGTGAGCGAAAAGCAAACTCGGGTATACGAGTTCGTCGCGCGGGTCCGCCAACCACTACACCACTGCTTCCCACGCGCGCGTGCGCGCGCACACGCACGTACAAACACTTCAAAAACCCACACACGCACATTAAATACGTGCATACAAATGACAAAAGTCTACATTAACACGAAAACATACACACTTACTGTACACAAACAAAATGAAGACACGTACGCGCAAACACATACGGCAAATCCCCACTCCACGCGTGTTCACACTATAACGCTATAACGCGGTTCTTAAACTAGGGAGCACTTATTTGCGGAACGCGTTCGTTATGACGCGGAACGCGCCCGTTATAACGCGGTTTCTAAACGGTCGATGATGAACTACTTTCTCGAGCTGAGCGGTACGGCACGCGGAATGATACAGTGACGCGTCGGCGTACCCTCACTTGTTTTTCCCGTCATATTACTGCGTGGTATGCGTAGCGCATCATAACTCGCCAAACTTCATCGTTACACTATTCGTGGGGGGAAATTGTTTTTCGCTTAATGCGGCACTTTTCAGAAATGCATCGACCGCGTTAAACGAGGAATCACTTGTGCACGTAACAGACACTACAAATCACAAGATCCACGGGAGAAGGCCAACATCTCATCACGCCTCAACCCCCAACAGTCGGACCGCGCACGTGGCCGCTCAGTTAAACGAAACTAAAAAATAGCTAAAGGCGCAGCCCTGCAATGACTCGCTCACGCCACTGCCAGAGGAAGGGCCTCCAAACAGAGAGAGCCACAGATCGAGGACCTCTACTCGAGGGTATTTGGTCTACCCGTCCACGCTGGCCAGATGTCCCGGACGTCTTGGAAGAGGTGGAGGTACCCACACTTTACCCCACCACGTGCGACTCCCCTCCCCCGATCGACGAAGTGTAAGAGGGGCGGTGGGATTTAAACGACTGCACCCATTGTTTCAACTGGCGCAGCAGGAGATTGAATCGAACCGCTGACCTCTGAATTGCAAGTGCCTTATCCTCCTAACCATGATCCTGTACACGCTGCTGTGATCAAGATTCTGAAACACCAAAACAGTCTTCACCCGAGTTTGCTGATGATGCTCTACGGATGGTTAAGGTTATTTAGCTCACCCCCCCCCACCCCCAATCAAAGATCATTCTTTAAAAAAAATACTCTTCAGTTCGCTTTCAGCCCAAAAGGTGAATAGCTTTTGCCTCATACGATGGTTGGTAGAAGCGCGTGATAACGCATCGAATTGTTTAATCTCCACTCTCACGATGCATGCTTGAAATAACACTCGATGCTTTTGTTTCGATGGTGTCTATGAAGTATGTGCAATTGAACCTTACGGCGGTACCCCGGAGTCCCATAAGCCCCCGGCTCTCGCGTAAACTGCGTTGCGACATCATTTTATGTCTGCTGAAGGTGAACGGTACGGCAATCTATTCCTCTCGAGGAGCTCTACACGATGCGCTAATCAAAGTTTTGTTTATTCTGCACATTCGTCCTCTCTGCGCTTGGATGACTCGACAACAGAATGATCCGCGTCAGGTGGGTTGCGGCGTTTATGTGCGCGGTGGGACGGAGTCGCCAAAAATAAATTCATTAATTACGATTTTGACTTCCGTTTATTCGGGACCCCGGGGTCCCGCCATAAGGTTCAATTGGATAACGTATAACTGTGCGGCCACGAGAGAGGCTATAATCACCACAATGGCTACGGGGAAAGACGAAAAAAAACCACCCCCAATCATTCTTGAACCCCCGTTACCCCCCACCCCACCCCGCCCTTCCCCCCCCCCCCAAAAAATCGTGAAATCTCACCGAATGACGAGCGGGGAGAGCCATTGGATAGCCACTCGACATCGCGGCAGTGCCCCCCCCCCCCCCCCACCGCGGTTACGTCATCGCGGAACGGAACAGGACAGTTAGGCGCTGGTATATAAGAGTCGCCTTCACGCCCCTTGCGAACGGTCCACGAACTCTACCAGCCTGCGCTTCTTCTTGGAGCTGGTGCCAATGGAAAGGAATGTGTGTAGTGTGTCGTGTAGCAACAACACATCGTCACTACGCTCCATCGTGGCATGCGAGGCGTGCTGGAATTTGCTGTTTTGTTTTACTGTTCGCTTACGTGAAGGAGACATCGTGTTTGGATAAATATTCAGGTCACCGCAGTGTATGCACGGTACAGTATGTTGAACTTTCTTTCTCGCCGTACCTGGCCAACCGTGCTAATCGGAGGTGTGCAGTGGTCATTCACAGCAGTGGTCATTTACAGCAGCGCTTATGGTGGCGGTCGCAAGAGTAGATTCTATTTATTTATTTAATATTTTGTCACCAAAATTCGTGTCGGAAAACACGACTACGCATCTTAGGCGTGCATCTATCTACAAAGTGAGAGCCGTTGGCTTTCTTCCTCTCAACATGTGACCTGACGTGAACGGATGATATGTCAATTGTAGAATTGGGAGCAGGTTTGTGGCAGAGGTGATGATTACCATAACACAATTATACCACCGCCACCATTATCATAATCACCACCACCACAATTATCATCACCACGACCATCATCATCACATCCTTGTCTCGTCGCTCAAGTCTTCCCCGTCCGCCAGCGGAGCGCGAATGTGCGCGCACAGGAACCCGGTTCGGGCACAATTTTGCACGCTCCCCAAACATTTTGCCACCTCGCAGGGTGAGCGGCCGGCAGCCTCTGATGAGGGCTGACGAGAGAGGCGCGGTTGTTGGCGGTGGTGTGGTTGGTGTTGGTGGTGTGGATTGTTCGGTTCGTGGTGATGATGCTGCTGATGTTGGTGACTGTGCTCGTGTTCTATCATGCTTGTATCCATAGCAGACCAACCTACGCTCGCCTGCGAAGTCAACTTTGGCCGCTGCCTAAGTTCCTGCTGTTGCTGCTGCTGCTGATTATGAAGAGGATGACGATAATGATGCTGGCGATGATGCTGATGTCCCCTCTCCATCGTGCCTTCGCTCTCTGAGTCTGTCACCCAACTCACACTAGCCGTCTGCTGCTGCTGCTGATGATGATGCTCTTTGGTTTGGACGAGCGATGATGTTGATGAGCAAGATGAAGTTGATGACGTCGATGATGAGGATGATGACGTTGCCGAGGACAGAAAAGGCGACAGAGCCGATGAAGAATCTTGGAAGAGTAATGCATTCCCCTTGGATGCCACCTCATTGACACCTTTTCCGAGCATATTTTGCCCCACGGCCACACGCACCCCTTGGGTCCCCGCCTGCCCCTTGAGCCCTGCGAGGTCCAGGAGGAGGAGGTCTCCTTCTGACCCGACCCTGAAGGTCGATGCGGCTCCACCGCCATGTCCTCCGCCGTTGCTGTCGGCGAAGTCCGTGACGCAGCTCACGAAGCTGTCGACACTAGAGAGACTTCGCATGTCGCTTACCCTGGGGTCTCTTCTGGACGGAGGAGCAAGGCCGCGGGGCCTCGAGTTGACGCCCACTCCCTGTTCGGACCAAGGCTCCATCGGCAGTGGCATGAGCGCCACCCTCGGCGTCGTCGCCGTCGACACCAGATCACTGTACATCTTCTCAAGCCTCCGTGCATTCAGGTGCTCGGGCGCCTCTACGTTGCTGCTGCCGGCGGTGGTGGTGTTTGTGGTGGTGCAAGTGGCGTTGTTGAAGGCCGCGGTGATAGCGACGGCGCTACCCGACGACGCTCCACCACCGACCTCGACGACGCTCCGGCCTTGCGCGTTTTCCTCGGCTGCATGGCCTCCATCTCTGGCCGATGACGACGACGACGAAGGTGCAAACCCCTGCAACGGGATGTGGTTCACCCGCTCACTCTCCCTGGCGGGTGAAATCCTCTCCGTGTCGGGCAACAGCTTCCCGCTGTCCCCATCCTCCTCCACCGCCGCCGCCGCCAATGCGTTCGATGCCGTCGTTGCCTCCAGACTGCGTGCGAACGCGTCCCTGATGTTCATGGAGACGATGCTTCCATTCCTCTTGGCCCTGTCGAGAGCCTCGCGCCGCTTCACCGCCTTCTCCTGGCGCTTCTGCTCCTTGTAGAACTCGCTGAAGTTGTTGACGATGATGGGGATGGGCAGCGCGATGACGAGCACGCCCGCGATGCAGCACAGGCCACCCACGATCTTGCCGAGCAGCGTCTTGGGGTAGATGTCGCCGTAGCCCACCGTGGTCATGGTGATGGTGGCCCACCAGAAGGAGGCGGGAATGCTGCGGAACTTGGTGCCGTCCTCGTCCTTCTCGGCAAAGAAGACGAGGCTGGAGAAAATCATGATGCCCATGGCGAGGAAGAGGATGAGCAGGCCGAGTTCGTTGTAGCTGCGCTTGAGCGTGAAGCCCAGCGATTGGAGGCCCGTGGAGTGGCGGGCCAGCTTGAGGATGCGCAAGATCCTCATGATGCGGAAGATCTGGACGACCCGGCGGACGTTCTGGAACTGCAGGACGCTCTTGTTGGACTCGGTGAGGAAGATGGTGATGTAGTAGGGCAGGATGGCGAGCAGGTCGATGACGTTGAGAGGGCCCTTGAAGAACTTCCACTTGTTGGGCGAGGAGGCGAAGCGCAGGAGGTACTCCGTGGTGAACCAGGCGATGCAGACGGCCTCCACGTGCGCGAGGTTAGGGTTGTCCGTGGCCTGTTTGTACTCGTCGATGTGTTGCAGCTCCGGGAGGGTGTTGAGAGACAGAGCCACCGTGGAAAGGATGATGAAGAGGATTGAGATGATGGCCAGGACCTGCGGGAGGGAGGGAAGTGGTTAATGATGGGGGATGACGTTGGAGAGAGTCAGGGGACAATTGAGGAGGTGGGAGGTATGCATATTGAACTTTTTTTCGCGCCGTATGTAGCCAACCGTGCTAATCGGAGGCAGAGAGACACGGAGACGGTGCGAGGTGATGTGGTGTGAGATATTAGAAATGGGAGTGGTTAATAATAAGGTAAAGAGATTCCATGAAGAGTGGATAGCTAGGTGGATGAACAGACGTGAGCAGATGGATACGGGAATATAGACATGATCACAAAGACAAATTAACAGATTTAAAAAAAACAGACATCAATAGACATTACACATGAATATATCCATATATGAACAGATACACGCATAGAAATATAGAGGGATATCTAGAGGAAATAGTCGCGGGAGGTGGACAGATGAGATGAATAGTTCACAGGCATATGATTGGTAGGAAGATGTGAGGACCGATAAATACTTAACAAAGACCCCGCTTAAAGCATTTGACCGACTGTTCGGGGCAATTGCTGTTTTTGAGCACCTATCAAGGCCAGCACGGCACACGAGGGGTGTGGATGGCCAACGTCACGCCAGGGCTGATGTTTTACGCACCACACCAAATACTAATTTAAGGTTGAGTCAACCTAGGAGAGGGCCAGGACCGGTTCAAATATTCGCCGCTGTTATTTGTTGGTAGGGTGAGCGGGAATCGAACTCCGGTGCCCAAGGTTCGTGGCGCAGTGCGCTAATTACTGTACCACCGCTCCCCGTTGCACACAAGCCGCGCTCATTGCCACGAGTAGCAGCGGTAAATACGAACGCTAGAGGGCGCCTTAAGGACGCGAAATCTTAGCCAAGCCACGCGGGATCACGGCTTCATCGCTCTCACAGACAACTAACTGTTCAGTGCCGAATTTAGCGAGTGCGGGGCCTGTAGCACCTACTGTGATCACCCAGAAATGTCTGTCCGTCCCGCGCGTGACGTCACTCCATATGAGCCCCCCCCTCATTAACATTCATGCCCGCGTGGACATTTACACGAACGCACAAGGAGGTCGCGCACTCCACATGCCGCACCCCTCCCCTCATTAATAATCATGAGCGGGTGACGTCACTCCACATGCCGCACCCCTCCACAATAACCATGAGGGGGTGCCGTCACTCCACATGCCGCACCCCTCCCCAATAATCATTAGCGGGTGACGTCACTCCACATGGGGCAACCCCCCTCATTAATAATCATTAGCTGAACAATTTTTCTATTGAATATTTAAAATTTACCGCACTATACACCCGTCCTTGGACGGGCAAAAAAGCTAGTGTTATAGAGGGACCCTAAATAAAATAAAATACAAATATTAAAAGACAGTTTTAACTTGCATAGTAAAGTAATTGTATTATTTTCATTTGCTGTACAGCCAGATAATACGACAGATCGCTAACCTTAAACACTTTACTTGTTCATAAAAGTTGAAGGCAGTATAGTACTATAGTAATAGAGTGCAGAATCACTGAACCGGAATTGATAGCTTGAAATCATTTAGCGCGGGGCCCTTGAAAGCGCGGGGCCCGTAGCATATGGTAGCTACTTTTTGCTACTAGGATAATCCGGCACTGCAACTGTTTGTTAAGAGAGGGCCATCGGTCATTGTAATCGCAGCCAATGAAACCCACCGCATCACAATGAGACTGACCGTGAAGCGCCCCTGTTAGGTTTCGTGTCTAACAAGAGGCAACGTGCAATACGATCTGATACACACATTGGGGATGGAGTTTGTTTTCGCTATAATTTATCTTTGCTTGTACAGTGCATTACTTGAATTTGTAATTTTGCTGTATGAGGCTATCTATCCTTGTCTCGTGAGTTTTTACCTGGTTAAATCAAATAACTTGAGCGGGGTGACGAAGTGGTTAGTTCACTGCACGATAATGCCAGGGGCAGCCGAATTAGATTCCGGTCAATGTGATATCTGAATGAGTTCCTGAACATCTCACCAACGCGCGATGACCAGCGTGGTGAAGTATGGCCATACAATCCTAACATGGCAGAGGAAGGTCTTCATCTAGCAGTAGGTAGACAGTGGACTGTGACTTGTTTTGATTGACACGCACACTCGTACGCACGAGGGTTCTAATGTTATGGAGCGATTCATCGATCAATATTGGTTTTGTTCAGCGCATGATATATGTGTATAATCGCAGGTGTATAGCTCCATGATCTCTAGTCATATATAAGACAAAGATTCCCTGTATAGCCTTAACGGACATTTTGGGGCAAGTGCTGTTAGCGAGCATCTATGAAGGCCAGCACAGTACACGAGGAGGTGGATGGCCAGCACCACCCCAGACCGCCTTTGTCTCCCCAGATGGGATGTTTATACACTGCACCAGGTACTCATACGGGACTGAGTCGACCTAGAGGAGACCCAGGACCGGTTCAGACTATCGTCACTGGTGTTGGCCGTGAGTTAGAATCGAACTTGGGTCGCCATCCCCCACAAATTCACATACATATACCTGACGCATACTTTAATTGTAATTCCGTATTACAGTAATGCCTCGATTTACGTCGTTTCGCAACTGCGTCGTCACGTTAATAACACCCCCGCCTGAATTGCGTCGCCTCAACCCCCACGCTCACGTCGCTGACAGCAGCAGCAGCAGCATCGTTCGTCCTTTCTCGCCTCTCAGTCGTCGCCTCCACCTTACTACCCTGTAAATCGATTTGATTTACGTCGTTTCGATATTCGTCGTCGCGCCTTTTCAGGAACGCATCCCCGACGTAAAGCGGGGTATCGCTGTATTACGCCTGCTTGCTCAGGAAAACCTCACAGTCGAATTGGCAAGTTTCGTTTTACAGGGAGCAAGGATTGCTGTTACACAGTACATACACGTACTCCCAATACAATACTGTTATGCACGCACACACACATGCATACTATATACACATGCATACGCCCACTGATATTGATCATATAGACACACACACAGAGTGAATACACCGCAAACAAACCTTACAAGCCTAACCACTGCGACAACAGTGGAAGCATAACGAAGTTAGAGGTGTTTGGCATGCATGCATGTATGTTGAACTACTTTTGCACCGTACTGTAGCCAACCGTGCTAATCGGAGGTGCGGACATGGAGAGGGAGGGTATGATCTCAGCGTGTGTTCTCCATTGCAAGGCCCGCGGGCTACTGTCGGCCCCTGGTGGCCTTTGATGCGGCCCCTGACGTGTGGCACCCGACAATACACAACACGTGACAACACCCCAATCGTGCTGCTGTCAAACCCCCAATGGTTTCAAATGCGCGGCAGCCCTCACACTGGTGAAGTCTTATGGGGCGAAAGTGCCACCCCCGGCCACTCCTGAAAAGTAGTGAAGAAGACTGTTATATGTCCTCTTACTTCACATCCTTCATTTCACCCCCCCCCCCTCTCCGCAACAGAACATAAGCCCCCGTGGCTACCCCCCCCCCCCCCCCCCACACACACGTGCCCCCTTCCTCTCCCCCGACACCTCCAATCACAAATATCAAAACCGTTCCCTTGAGGCCGTGTTACTGGAACACTCGGTGACAGCGAGTGATGTGACGTGACGACCTGACCCCTTGGGATCCACGCGCTCCGATCACCACCTTGATCATCACCACCAGCGCCATCATCATCACCACCACCACCTCCATTATTACCACCAGCCACTCATTATCATCACCACCTCCTCCGTCATCATCAGCACCTCGTTCATAACCACCAGCTTCCCCAGAACCACCAACATCCCTCATCGTCACAATCGTGAGTTTCGTAAATAACTCTTTGGTTCTTTCGGTAAAGTCACGTAGAAAGAAAATGAAATCAATAATAGAATACGACGTTTCGATTGCAACACAAGCAATCGTCATCAGGTAGAAAACAAACCTGGTGAACACCATTGGAACCTCCTTTCCCAGTAGCAAAATATGACCATTGTTTTTTTTTGGCAACAAAAATGACACCTTTATTTACAAGGAGTCATGTTTGCATTGACCACAATACCTGCGGTCGGAATGCAAACAAAAAACATAACTCTGATAATGTATTGGCACTGTCCTTGAAATTAATTGGTCCACACCCGAGACAGCTTTCCTTAGAGCTTAGTCTCACATGGTGTTGGCCTTTTGGCGTAATCTGGTCCAACACCATGTGAGACGAGGCTCTAAGGAAAGCTGTCTCGGGTGTGGACCAATCAATTTCAAGGACAGTGCCCATTATCAGAGTTATGTTTTTTGTTTGCATTCCGACCGCAGGTATTGTGGTCAATGCAAACATGACTCCTTGTAAAAAAAAAGGTGTCATTTTTATTGCCAGATAAAAGGGTAAAAAAAGAATTATCATTAACAAACCTAGTGAACTTAGAAATACAATGCAATCCAATACAGAGAGTCGGCTAACACAAGTCAGCACCTTACCTGGTTGATTACGTTCTTCCAAAGATTGTTGAATTTGAGAGAGAGACAAAACACAGACACGGGCATACACAGACAGACACACAAGCAGAGAGAGACAACATAGATACACACAGAGAGAGACACACTACATGTCTGTTTTCTACCTGATGACGATTGCTTGTGTTGCAATCGAAACGTCGTATTCTATTATTTCATTTATTATTCTTTCTACGGGACTTTACCGAAAGAACCAAAGAGTAATTCCTGCAGTCACGAAAGCTTCACATCAAGTTTTTTCATAAATAACTCGGGCCCAAAATCACCCCCTCCCCGTAGTCACCTCCTATAACTTAAATCGCATTCCCCAGAGATCAACACCTCCACCATCACATCCGCTAACGTCACTGGGCCCATCACCGTCAGCTCCCAAACTTAAAACTCCCCACATCATCACCTCCCCAATTGCATCCTTGGCCATCATCACTTCTCCCAACTTCATCAGTTCACTTGTATAATATGGATGCGTGTTGAACTTCTTTCGCACCGTACGTAGCCAACCGTGCTAATCGGGATAA